TCACCTGACGAGCGGCCTAACGACGACGGGGCGACTAACACGACTGATCGACGCCCGACGACGACGACACGACGAACGACCCAACTACGACGACGACGACTACGACGACGACGACGACGTCGACGCGACGACGCGACGACGACGATACTACTACTACGACTCCTACGACTACTACGACTACTACGACTACCTACTACTGACTCAACTACTACTACTACTACTACTTACGTCTATACTACTACTACTAAACTTCTACCTACTCTACTTAACTACTATACTACTACTACTATACTACTACTACTACTGACTACTAACTACTACTACTACTACTAATACTAAGACTACTACTACTACTACTACTACTACTACTACTACTACTACTACTACTACTAACTACTAACTACTAACTACTAACTACTGACTACTAACTACTACTACTACTACTACTACTACTACTACTACTACTACTACTACTACCACTACTACTCTTACTACTACTACTACTACTACTACTACTACTACTACTACTACTACTACTACTACTACTACTACTACTACTACCTACTCCTACTCCTACTCCTACTCCTACTCCTACTCCTCCTCCTCCTACTACGACTAGTACTACTACCACTACTACTACTACTAGTACTATTACTACTACTACTACTACTACTACTACTACTACTACTACTACTACTACTACTACTACTACTACTACTACTACTACTACTGCACTACTACTACTACTACTACTACTACTACTACTACTACTACTACTACTACTACTACTACTACTACTACTACTACTACTACTAACTACTAACTACTAACTACTAACTACTACTACTACTACTACTACTACTACTACTACTACTACTACTACTACTACTACTACTACTACTACTACTACTACTACTAACTACTACTACTCCTACTACTCCGACCTAAACCTACTACGACTAAATACTACTACTAACTACTACTACTGACCTACTACTCTAACTACTACCACTACTACGACTAAAACTACGACTACTACTAACTACTAACTACTAACTACCAACTACTAACTACTTACTACTAACTACTACTAACTACTACTAACTACTACTAACTACTACTAACTACTACTTACTACTACTACTACTACTACTACTACTACTACTACTACTACTACTACTACTACTACTACTACGACTACTACTACTACTAACTACTAACTACTACTAACTACTACTACTACTAACTACTACTACTACTACTACTACTACTACTACTACTACTACTACTACTACTTCTACTTCTACTACTACTACTACTACTACTACTACTACTACTACTACTACTACTACGACTAACTACTACTACTACTACTACTACCACTACTGCTACTCCTGAGTATACAACCACTACTGCTACTACTACTACTACTACTACTACTATTACTACTACTACTACTACCACTAACTACTAAACTACTACTACTACTACTACTACTACTACTACTACTACTAACTACGACGACTGCACAATTCCTAATAATATAATAATATAATAATACGACGGCGATGACGACGACGACGACGACGACGACGACGACGACGACGACGACGACGACGACGACGACGACGACGACGACGACGACTACTACTACTACTACTACTACTACAGCAGCGACAGCAACAGCAACAGCAACAACAGCAACAGCAACAGCAGCAACAACAACGACAACAACGTCAACAGCAACAACCCCCCTAAAAAAAGACGGGGAGATCCCATGGCCTCGACCACATGATCCACACACACACACAAACACACGGTCCTCCCCCCCTTCTGGGCAATGCCAAGTAGGAGGGTCACCACTAGGGGGATCGCCATTTCCTCGAGAGAACTCCAAGTCCTCTCTAGGAAGTGGAGCCCCCAGAACACTCCAAAGCCCCCCCCAAAAAAACGACCCGAAACGTCCTAACAAAACCTCATCGAGCCCAGATCCTGGAGACCTAACTCCACTTCCTCCCCAGGAAGTGGAACCCCCAGAGCACTCCAGAGGGCCCCCCCCCCAAAAAAAAAGAAACGACCCGAAACGTCCTCCAAAACCTCATCGAGCCACGATGCTGGAGACCTGACTCCACTTCCTCTCCAGGAAGTGGAACCCCCAGAGCACTCCAACCGCCCCCCCCAAAAAACGGCCCCCAGCGTCCCAAAAGCCTCAGCGAGCCCCGATGCTGGAGACCTGACTCCACTTCCTCCCCAGGAAGTGGACCCCCAGAGCACTCCAACCGCCCCCCTCAAAAAACGGCCCCCAGCGTCCCAAAAGCCTCAGCGAGCCCCGATGCCGGAGACCTAACTCCACTTCCTCCCCAGGAAGTGGAGCCCCAGAGCACTCCAGAGCCCCCCCCCAAAAAAACAGCCCCCAGCGTCCCCAAAGCCCCAGCGCGCCTCAATCCTGGGCGCCTCGAGCCTCATGTAGAGCGGGTGGTCCACCTTTGTTTCCAGCGGGCCCCTTCCCCTGGCACTGCCCGATCTTGGGCGCCGCTGGCGGCACTTCTGCTCCGCTAGACAGGCGCGCTCCACGCCTCGCAGAGTAGCTACTCGCAGATGGCCCGGATCCGCCACAGGGGACTCACGATACACTGTGCATCGAGGCAGACACGTGCTTTTTTGATTCGGACGCTTGCGCGCAGGCACTCTGCGAGCCGCGGAGCGTCGGCGACCGGCTGCTCTGCCGCTCTGGCCGCCCCCCCCCCCCCGGGAGCCTCGCTGCCGGGGAGGCGCCGCGTGTGCGCCTCCACCGACGCGAACGCCGAGCGCAGCTCGTCGGCGAACGTGGCCCACGCCGCGCCGACGCCAGGAGGGCGGACGGACCACGAAAAACGGGCCACGTCAACAGCACCGCCATGCCCGCGCACGTCAAACGCTGGACCGAAACCCCGACAGACATCGTCTCAAGGCTGGGCCTGCGGACGCCCGGTGGTGGATGAATCCCACCAGCCAGGCCCTCTGGGCTAAGGTGGGCTAGCGATGTCTTTCCAGGGGAACACTCCCCCCGAGACTGCGTGCTTGTGTGGCCCGACGACCCGAGTGACGAAGAACGGGTCGGACGCGAGATGGCATAGCGACCGCACGCCACGGCTCACGAGAGCCGCCGGCGTGACACACCGCGTGGAGAGGAGGGCGCCAGCGCGCGGCCTCACGCGCGGGAAGCTTGTAGGCCAGTGTCGGTGAAGACGACGCCGATTGCTTCCGTCGCTCCTGCGACTCTCTGCATCGCGGCGCTGCTTCTCGAACTCGGCCCCTGGGGCCCGTTTTCCGACCGGCAGCAGAGACGGAGCCGGGCAAGAGAAGACGAAGCCCCGCGGGAAGAGGCTGATCGCCGCTATGACAAGCGTCCGCGGATATATATATATATAGATATATATAGAGAGAGAGAGAGAGAGACATGTAGAAAGTCAGCGCAATGGGAAGAGATGGCTCGGAGCGGTGGGATGCCAGATATGGCGCGAGCGCACCTAGCTTGTCGTTCCCCCTCGCCCGCCCCCCGTCGAAGGAGGAGGTGGGAGAGGAATAGCGAGCAGGATGAGGAGGATGATAAGGACGGGATCGGAACCTGGGGGGCCGCGGACGGAACAAGAGACAGGGCGGCGGCTGTCAGGGCACGCGGGCGATCCCTTCTGGACGCCCGTGGGCAGCGGGCCGGGGACTTTTCTCCCTGCCCTGCCCCAGCGGGAGAGCGCGGCCACGTGGTCACGACGCGCATCTTTCGGGGGGCGCGCAAGCAGGGAGTGGCGATCCATGGATTTGGCGCGCGGCCGCCAAATCCATGGATCGGGAGAGGTGCCCTCCCCAAAATGCGGCTGGTGTCGCCTCGCTCGGCGGCGTAAGTCCGCGATTTCCCATGGAAACGGGACCCGTCGCTAATCCACGCCGCCTTGATCCATGTTTGTGATCGCCTGAATCTTTGCTGACACATCTGAGGGGCAACAATAGGGGGGGACTGACAATGGGGGGGACACATCGACCTGGCATCGGCGACACGTCGCCGATAGATCGGCGATAGGCTCCCGATGGCAAATCCCAAGGTTCCTGAGCGGGGTGGGGCTATCGGGCCCCTGTCGGCGATCAGTGGGCGATTGGGGATCGATGCAAACTCCTTAGGCCCATCCCCCCCCTTCGTTTCCCCTGACCCACGTTCTGGGCGTCGCACTCGTTCCACGAAGGGGGTCGTCGCCGACCTCTGGGCCCCGAGATGACCGCAAAAAGGAGGTATCGGGGGCTCTGGTCGTGACTTTTCACGGTGCGCCACTTTGGAAAAAAAATATCGCGATGTTCCCTGAGATCATCTCAGGCAGCATCGCTATGTTTTTTGCGGCGTCGGACCTCGATGAGATCCGACATCGCAAAAAAAGAAACAACCGAAAAAACATCGCGACGCCGAGCATGTGGTCGCGCATCGCATCGCGGCTGCCACGGATCACTACAAGGGCCTGCCCATGTTGCAGGTCGGCCCGTGTGGTGTTCCCAGCTTGCCTTGCGGCATTTCGACTTGCACCGCTGTGGCAGTCGAGATGCATCGAGACCGATCCTGAGATCCGACGTCACGGGAAAACTGCAGCATCGAACAAAAACTCGACGGCACCCTGGACCTCACCTTCTTGTGCTGCTGAATTTCTTAAGCCGGGTCGATATGTGATTGCACCAGGGCTCGAAACCAGGCGAAAGCGCCCAGCGTGAAAAATTGAGACGCCCGGATCTCGGGGCAGGACCAGAAAGGGTTTCCAGGTTTCTGCTCCGAGAGGCCTCCAGGGCACTCTATAGACATCCCGAGACCTCCCGAGGCCCCCAGCGGTCCCTGGAGCACGAGCGGCTCCTGCCGCGCCGACGTGCGAGATGGCTTCCGGCACCGCGCAGATCGTTCGATCCTGAGCGGCCTCCGAACCGGCTACCACGAGAAAGAGGAGGCCCCAGGCAAGCGCGACCTTCGGTGCGCGCGGCCTGCCGATCGATAGAAGAGGCGATGCGACACCCGCGGCTTGCAGCTGCTTGGGCTTGCCCCCCCCTCCTCCTCCTCCTCCTCCTCCTCCTCCCCTCCGCATCCTCCTCCTCCTCCTCCTCCTCCTCCTCCTCCTCCTCCTCCTCCTCCTCCTCCTCCACCTCCTCCTCCTCCTCCTCCTCCTCCTCCCCTCCTCCACTCCTCCTCCTCCTCCTCCTCCTCCTCCTCCTCCTCCTCCTCCTCATCCTCCTCCTCCTCCTCCTCCTCCGCCTCCTCCTCCTCCTCCTCCTCCTCCTCCCTCCCCTCCTCCTCCTCGTCTTGCCCCCCAACCCGCGCGCGCCGGAAGCCGCGCACCGTGGGAGGCCTAGAGGTGGGCACCAGCACCGGTATCGTCGGTTGCCTCCACCGAGGGGAGATGGTTTAGAGGGGGGGAAAGGGAAGGGCAGGGAACGCGCGAAGCACCGGTCTGCCTCCACCGAGGGAGGATGATCCTGATCTCGGTGATGGTGTTCAGATTCGGGCTCCGCAGGTGGCCGCGAGATGACCACGTGTATCAAAATCCAGAATCGTCTTCACTGGTTGAGGCAACCCGTTGGAATTGGACTCTTGCCTAACGGCGGACCTGAGGTACAACGTTGCGAAGATAAACGATATCACCCAAACTCATGACCGGAACCTGAGACACTAGACCCCATCGTTCTGGTATATTTTTCGACCCGGATCGATCTGTGATGAGGGACCAGGACCCGGCGAAAACGACTGGCGCGAAAGGATGCAACGCCCGACTCTCAAGGCAGATCCAACCCAGCTCCAAAGCGTCATGATCTGTTCACAGCGTCGCTTCCCCGACACTGGCCCTCATTCCCGAGTCGTTTTGCTGAGCGTCCCGGGGCCCAGCGAGGGCCCCCGGAGGCCGAAAGTTGCCAAGAACCCTTCGAATAGGGGATCGACTACAACATTAATTAACCCAAAAATGGATTTGTTCGTCGAGTCCACGAGAAATGCGTAGAATGGTCGTAGGTCTACGAACAATATATGCAGGACCCGACGGGAGGATCATTTCTGGGATAAATCAATTCTGCAAACGATCCCCTACTCGAACCCTCGCGTCGTGATTCTGCTCGCGGCGCGGGGGCGTCCGGGAGGAGCGCGTCCAAGCGAGGCCCGGTTCGGGCCGCGCAGAGGGCCTCTGGCCGCAGCACGCGCCGCGCGGGCCTGCCGGCGCAGAGAGATCGGCGCCTCGGGCGGCCGCAGCGGTGCGGGAGGCCGCCCCGCGGACGAGGCGAGGAGCCCTGTGAAGCTCGTGCTCTCCTCCTCCTCCTCCTCCTCCTCCTCCTCCTCCTCCTCCTCCTCCTCCTCCTTCCCCCTCCTCCCCCCTCCCCCCCTCCTCCTCCTCCTCCCCCTCCCCTCCCCCTCCCCCTCATCCTCCTCCTCCTCCTCCTCCTCCTCCTCCTCCTCCTCCTCCTCCTCCTCCTCATCCTCCTCCCCCTCCCCCTCCTCCCAGCAGCTGCGGGGAGGTCTCGGCAAGAGCGGCCCAGAGCCGTCGAGGGCCTGAGCGCTGGGCCAGGCCGGAGGAGACGGGGGGGGCGAGGCAGATTGAAACAGAGTGAGAGGGATAGAACCAGATGGAGCTGAGAAACCTGTGGAACCCGTGCTCCATTCCCTTTCCGAGACCCCCTCGTCGTGAAAGAACCACGACGGCGGGTTTCTGCCCGTTTCCGGCCTCTGGTGGCCCTCGCCGGGCCCCGGGACCGTCAAAAACAGCTCGGGATGAAAAGCTGGTCGTCGGGACTTCCAGGGACCCCGTGTTGAAAAAATGAAGACATCGCATGTCTGGGTCTGGGCGTTGCAAGTGTTTTCACGCTGGTAGTTTTCGCCAATTTTCAAGCTATAGGACCAGCACAAATCGATCCAGCCCGAAAAATGCTGCCGACAGGTCTAGGGCTGCAGTCTTGATTGCTTCGCGGTGTTACGTTTTTTGGGGCAACGTCGGATCGCAGGGTGAGGGGCAATGAGAAGGGGGGGACTGGCACATGGGGGGACACATCGACTTGGAATCGGCGAGATATCGCTGATAGATCGGCGATAGGCCCCTGGTAGTGAATCTGCACGCTCCTGGGCAGGCTGGGGCTGTCTGGCCCGCATCGGCGATCAATGGGCGATTGGGGGTCGATGCATGCCCCCCTTGTGCCTTGTGCCCATGCCCCCCCTATCGTTGCCCCTTGACAGGGTCGTGTGGCCTTCTGGCCTCCTGGGCATGCGGTCGTCGGCGCGGAGCTCGTGGGCGAGCCAGACCACCGTGCCGCGGTGCGCCAGCCCGACAATGGTCTGCACCAGCGCGTGGCCCATCTCGTCGTGGTCGTACGTGACGTCCGCGCCGAGAATGACGTCGTACTTCCTGCCCTCGTTGATCTCCTCTGGAGGGCAAGGGCAAGAGGGAGGAGGAGGGGAGGAGGAGGAGGAGGAGGAGGGAGGGGAGGGCGGAGGGGAGGGGAGGGGGGAGGCCCCCCCCCTCCCTCATCCCTCCCCCCTCCCTCCTCCCTCCCTCCTCCCTCCTCCCCCCCCCCTCCCCTCCCCTCCTCCCTCCCTCCTCCTCCCAGGCTCCGCGGGCTGCACGCGCGCCGCTGGGCCGCCCAGGAGGGGCTCCGGTTCTCGGGCCGCTGCCCAGGTCCAGGTCGGGGGGCCTCTTCGCGGCGCCGAGGCTCGCCGCGGCCAGAACAGCTGTTCGTTCTCGTTTTTCAGCGTCGTTGCTAGCAGCACGGGGCCTGTGTGTGTGTGTGCACCTGTGTTGGTCACCACCCTTCGCCTGTGCAGTGTTTGTACACTCTGGTGGTCTCCAAACCAGGTGGTGAGACACCCGGTGGTGACCCCGATTCCCCCCCAAAATAGTTCTGGGTCACCACCGGGTTTGGGGACACGCGGTCGCCACGAGGTTTTGCGTTTCCTGGGCCAGCCAGCGCTCGAAAAACATGACCCAAATCGCTCAAAACTCACCACCGGGTGTTCTCACCACCACGTTCGGCGTCGATCTTGGTCACCGTCCATCGCGAACTCTGGATCCGTAAACGAGGGCCAGGACGAGCTGGCTTCGACCATCCACATGCTCCCCTTCTTTGTCCTCCTCCTCCTCCTCCTCCTCCTCCTCCTTCTCGTTTCTCGTCCCTCCTCCGCACTCGCCCCCCCAACCGCGTGACCGACTTCGGTCGCCGTCAACTTGTGAATCGTCCTCGTGAACTGTCGCCGAGATGCCGCGACATCTTGGTCGCGGTCCTTGCGCTTCTTCCCTCGATCCTCGGCGCGCGCCATGTCCCCGGCGTCGCCCCAGCGGAGCTGCGCCAGCACCGCCTCCGGGCGCGGGCTCGGGACGTTCTCGGCCAGGTTCTGCCTGGCTCGGCGGCGGCTCGCGGGAGCCTCCCATGGCATCGTGCTGGCCCCTGCGAACCGACGCTAACCGACGCCAGTCGACGCTAGATCGACGCCGATCGACGCTGTGTCGGCGCTGTCTCATCGCCTACCAGACGCTAGCGCACGCTAAGGCACCCTGATAGCGGAACTTCGAAGATGCACAAGGCTCCCATTCACGAGCGACGGACACATCCGCATCCGCGCCCTCGCAGTCTGGATTCCGGGGCGCGATCCCGCGGATACGCGGTCGTACACGTACGCTCCGCGCGGGGCATCCACTCAACAAAGACCCCGTGTCCGCGGGGTCGCGGCCCAGAGCCCGACTGGCGAGGCCGCGGGTACGGATATGTCTTCTGCCCACGAACAACGCGGAGTGCCTCTCTTACGCGACAGTTTTGGGGGGACCTATGTGTCGGTCCTGCTCTGGTGTCCGACGCAGGCTCGAGGCACCCTGGATGCGGATTCGACAAGGATTTGACGCGGACGCGACGTGCTTCAACGGATGCGACGTGGATCTGCCGCGGATCGTGACGCGATGGGACAAAGGGCCCCATGTTTTGCGACCGAAGCACTCGTCGTCGTTGTCGTCATCGTCGTCGCCGCCATCGTCGTCGCCGTCGTCGCCGTCGTCGTCGCCCTCGTCGTCGTCGTCGTCGTCGTCGTTGTCGTCGTCGCCGTCGTCGTCCCGAGGCCTGGCCAGGCGGAGCACGCCCTCGTGCCCGTCCGTGGCCACGACGCGCCCCAGGCGCGGGAACGCCTCCAGCAGCACCATGGCGAGCAGCGGCTGCCCGCAGCCGAGCTCCAGGACCGCCCGCCCGGCCCCGAGGTCCGCCCGCGCCAGCTCCTCGCGGTTCTCGAGGAGGTGCCTCGCCTGGGCGGCCATGCGTGGCGGGGACTTCTCCTCTGTCATCCACCGCCCAGGACCCCGACGCCCTGGGGACCTCCACGGGCGGTGGATACTGATATATGTTGGCCCCCAGAGGCCACTATATATATATATATATATATATATAATATATATATATATATATATATATATATATAGATATATATAGATATAGATATATATATATTATATATATATATATATATATATATATATATATATATATCACTAGCGTGGGCCCGTAGATTAAATCCACGGAGCTGCGTGAATCCAGGTTTGGCGACGCGCGCTTCTGTTTCCGGCGCGCAAATGCCAGCAAGCTGCGGTGTGCGATCGACAACCAACGTGGAATCGATGATTTTCGCTCTTCAAGCCCTCTTGGGGTCCTCCTGGGGCTCTTCTCCGGGCGCGTGAAGCCCTCTGGGGCTGTCTTGACAGCATCAGGGCCGTCTTGGGGCCCTCATGGCAGGCTCGGGGCACTCTTGGCCTGTCTTTGTGGCCTCTTGGGAACTTGTTGGGCTGTCTTGGGGGCGGCATGGGGGTCTATTGGGCCGTCTTGGGGGCCTCTTGGGCCCTCCTTGGGCCCCTCTGGGGCTGTCTTGGGGCTTTCTTGCGCTCCTCTTGGGCCGTCTCGGGGCGATCCTGAAGCCTCTTGGGCCGTCGAGTCCAAACGGTTGAGAGCGCGAGAATCTCAGAATCCGAAGGAAACCCACGGAAAATCTGTGTTTTCGGCTTCTTGGGCCCCCCGAGAGTGTCCCCTCGGAGCCGTCCTGGGACGTCTTGGTGGCCTATGGGGCCGTTTTGGGAGCATCGTAAATCGTTTGAGGGCGGTCTTGGGCCATCTCGGGGCTGTCTTTGGTCGCCTCGGGGCCTCTTTGGGCAGTCTCGGGACTCTTCTGGGGATCTCCAGTGCCGTTTCGGGGCCCTCCAGGCGCCTTCGGGCTCTCAGGGGGGGGTCGGGGGACCAGGGGCCCAAGCAAACCCACAAAGCCCCTTATGGATGTATTGGCATGGATATATATATATAGAGAGAGAGAGAGAGAGACAGAGAGACAGAGAGAGAGAGAGAGAGATAGTGCAGCGGCAACGGCTTTCGGAAATCCATCCGACCGATAAACCGATCAACCGATAAAAACTAATCGGTTGAACGGTTTACAAACCGATCAACCGAAACAACGATATAATTTGATCGGTTTATCGGTGGATCGGTCGCTCAACCGAAAAAACGATAATCTTCGTATGCGAACATAGAGGCAATTGCTGGCGCGCCCCCCTCTCTTCGTCGGTTTATCGGTTTATCGGTTTATCGGCTCATCGGTTGACTGGCTGGTCCGAGACCGCTGGGGGGGAACCTGTGGAGGCGATCCTTGTGCAGCATATCGGTTTATCGGTTTATCGGGTTATCGGCTGGTTGTCAGTCCCCCGCCACGACGACGACGGCGACGGCGACGGCGTGAGTTCTGTGTTTGGCTCTGGCGCGGACGGCGCACCCCGCTCAGGGGCGGCTCGGCTTGATCCGCCTGAGTCTCTGGTGCGGACGGAGTCCCGCAGGGGTCCGAGCATCTCCCGCCGCGCGCGATGCTTTGCGCGGGTAGCGCAGGGCCTGCGAGGGTCTCAGGCGACAGTGGCCGAACCAACGTGGGGCAGGGCATATGCGAGGTCGTTGTCTCAGACGAAAGTGGCCTGAAGAGGTCAGCTATAGGCGTCTCGGAAGCCGCTGTTGCGAGGATGTCGCAGGCGAAAGTGGTCGGACCGCCATGGGGCAGGGCACCTCCGAGGTCAGAAGTGCGAGGGCGCCCCGGGCGAAAGTTGTCTGAACATCGCATCCCGGGGCAGACCGGGGGTCAGACTATTTCAAGGCTGGGCACATCCCCCCCAGGTGAACGAGGCGAGTTTTTGCGTGGGCGGAAATGGCCAGCACAATTTGGGGCAGGGCATATCAGAGGTCAGCGTTGCGAGGATGTCTCAAGATGAGGAAGAGGAAGGTCATGCTGATGATAATGATGGCGATGGCGGCAGCCGCGCGGGGGGCAGAATCTGGCGGGGCAAATTTCGGTGGGGATCAAAATCTGGCGCGCCATTTTGCGTCGGTCTGGATCACATTGCACGAAAGGACGGACGGCGATCGGCTCCAGGAGCAGAGCCTCGACAAGATTCCACGAGGAGCAGAGCCCCGACAAGACTCCGCGAGAGGGGAGGGGGAAGGAGGAAAGGGGAGGAGGAGAAGGGAAATGCGAAACCCCTAATGCGCAAAGAAGGAGGGGGAGGGGGAGAAGGAGCCCCCCCCCCACCCCGCCTATGCACGGTAGAAACCGACAACATCCTAGCCCGAAGTGCCCTGCCAGATTTCGCTCCCCGCAAGACCGCCTGCGCGCGGAGCATCTGCAAATCGCAGGTCGGCAGGGGGCAAATATACCACAGGACGGCCGGGGACAAACATGCCAGAGGTTGGCTGGAGGCGAATATATCACAGGACGGCTGGCACCACCGACCACTCTCTCCTCTGGCCACCCCTCTGGCCACCCCCCACCACCGACCACTCTCTCCTCTCCCTCGCCACCCCCCTCCATGTCATCCACGTGCGTCCTCGACGGCGACGGCGACGATGGCAGGGAGTGACGCGCGTCATATTTGATAGGGCGTGACACTACCCCTGCAGATGCGCCCGCCTCTCCGCGCGCGTCGGCTGGCCACGTCGGCGCGCCGACGCGTCCTTCCGAAGCTTCTTGCTCCGGTTGCGTCGGCGCGTCGCCGCCTCCTCGCGGAGCTTCGCGAGGAGCTCCTGGGAGGCCGCGTCGCCGGCCGCGTCGGCGTCGCACGGCAGCCAGATGCACGCGGCGCCAGGCGCGCCGGCCGCGCCGCCAGCAACCTCGTCCAGCACATGCTCGGCGCCTTCGCCGCCGCGCTCGCGGGCCGCGCGCAGCAGCGCGCGGAGCAGCTCCCTTCGCCAGAGCGCGCTGTTCTCGTACTGCGCCCGCGGGATGCCCGGCGGCAGCAACGTGCACTGCGCCCGCGGGAAGCCCTGCTGCGCATTCCGGGCCCCCAATGCCTCCAGCGCCTCCTCGGCGCACCGCCTCGGGCACTGGTCGTCGTCCTCGGCGTGCGCGGCCCAGATGCCACCCGGCACTCCTGGGTGCTCCTCCAGGCGGCCCAGGTAATCCTGGAACTTCCCGACTGGGTCCGTGCACGCCGGAACTCCAGCCAAATAGGGCTGCCCGTGGCCGTGGAGACCCCCCAAGGCCACCGCCTCCACGCGCGGCCGCCCGCGCGCCAGGAGCTCCGCGATGCAGTAAGCGCCCGCGAAAAAGCCGAGCGCGACGACGGGCCCGCCGTCGGCGAAGCTCTCAACGAAGTCCGCGAGCAGGTCCACGCTCCCGGGCACTAGATCCCCGAGGAAGCCGTGCGCAGCGTCGTTTCGACCCAGGATCCACAGCGGGCCTCGCGGCCGCAGTGGCGCGAGGAACCGAAACGGCGGCAGTCCCCAGCTCATCATGGCCCTGAGCTTCCCGGCGAACGGCGCTCTCGCGTCGCCGCCCTCGCCCCCGAGGCCGGCGAGGTAGAGCAACAGCGGCTGTTCCTCGAGCGGCCCGTATCCGCGTCAACCCCGCAACTGGAGGGCGCCACCCTGGCGGCGAAGTAGCGCAACTCCTCGCCCGTCGCTGGACACCGCCAAACAATGGGGCCCCGGAGAAAGCCGGCGGGGCCACTCCACGGCGACGCAGCGCGCAGCAGGTGGGCCGGCGGGGGGCCGCCTGGGGGCGTCGGCTCGCGCGGCGACGCAGCGCTAGGATCAGGCTGCGCCGCCGCCTGCGGTCCCGCCTCGTCCTCGAGGTCCAGGTCGCTCGCGCGGGGGCTCGGTGGTGTCGACTCGCCGCCTCCTCCCTCGCCCTGGTGCTGCTCGGCCGGGGCAGAGGGCCCCGCGCTGCCGAGGCCTGCTGCTCGGCTGGGGCGGGGCCTGCTGCTCGGCTGGGGCGGAGGGCCCCGCGCTGCCGTGGCCGCTCCCCTTCCTTGGCTGGGGCGTGGTCGGGCCCTGCTCTCCACTCGGCTCAGGCCTCTCTCGGGCTGGCCTTCCCCTGGGGATCGAGACCTCGATGGTGCTGCGGGTGGCGCCCGCAACAGGCGCGGCGGCGGGGGGCCGCCTGGGGGCCTCGGCCCGCGCTGCGACGCAGCGCGCACTAGGTGCGGCGGCGGGTGCCCGATAGGGGGCACGCGCGCGCGCGGCGGCGCATCCGCGCGGCCGCCCAACGAAACTGCTTGAGCCAAGACCGCAACAACAACACTCCACGAGGGCCTCTGAGTGAGTGCCCTTGGAGCTGTCGCGAAGCCCTGGGAAGGATCCCAGAGGGCTCAATCAGAACCCAGAGATCCCTCTTCGGTCGTCTTGGGGCTCTCTTAGGCTTTCCCTAGGGCCTCGGTGGTGTCGTCTCATCCGCAGTTTCCTTGAGCACCGTGGCGTGGTGCTCCAACCAGCCCGCGTTGCTCTTGATGCCTTGCATGAGCGCTTCGGGCTGCCAACCCTCGCGCGACGCCACCGCGACGACTGCTGTGCGGAAGGGGCGCGGGAGCAGGAGCCGAATTGAGAAGCTGGGATCCACTCCCACCTCCTTGTGGTCCCTAGGGTCCGCCAGCATCTCGCCCAGCCACTGCTTGGCTGTCTCTCGGGCCCCCCGCTCGTCCTGCAAGCCGTTGAATAAGCCCGTCGGATGCAGGGCGGTTCGGAGAGCGGCGGCATTCGGCACGGCGTCGAGAGCGCGAATAGCAGCCAAGGACGGGTCTGGCACCGGGGCCCCGTCACCGCCAGCCGCCGTGTTGTCAGTGAACGCGAAACCGAAATCGGCATCCGTGATGGCAGGGCCTTGCGGCCGCGACGGCTGAGACTGCGATGGGGATATGGACTGCGACAGCCCCCTGCCAATGGGCGACGCGGCCGGGACGACGGCCCTGCCAATGGGCGACGCGGCCGGGACGATGGCCCCACCGGGCGA